TAAATGACTCGTCAAAAACATTTACTTCCAAACAAAGACATCATCACCCAGAGCCTTTGCTTTCATTGAGCTTGATTTCTTTGATCAGTTTTTTCCGTTCCACACGTACCGAATCAGATAAGGTGACGGTGACTATAATTCACCTCTAAAACGTCGTGCATCGTTACACAGATGCTACGCCGAGCTTTTCACCTCTAAAACGTCGTGCATCGTTACACAGATGCTACGCCGAGCTTTTCACCCAAAGTCCAGCTTTCTGACCGTCGATGTCAGATCGGGTAATTGCACCGCCGGGTCACATGTCACACTGACTTCCTGAACCGTCATGCCGCTCGTCACATTTGTCGCCTTCTACATTCTGGATGTGATCCCTTTGGTTACAAAACCATGTTCCACAGCTTCCCACAAACCTCTGCTAACCAGAGATAAGACACAAAAAGGGACCAGACCACATAATGGAAAGTGGACACAACCAAATCGATCCATTTACTTTGGTTAGTGGAAAAAAAGAATCTGAAAAATATACATACATTTTCAAATGTCAAAATTAAAATGCAGACTATAAGAGAAATGCTACAGACCTCTCAGTCTATATATGCCCTTGTCTGCCCTTTGTCCTCAGCAGTAGACTGATCATTTAAACCTGTGTGAGGGAACTGGACCCAGGGTGTCTGCATGTAATATAAGTGCGGAGATGGGGCACCGGCCTACTCTCCAGAGTGGACCTGCTCGTGAATCTTGAGGTCCTTCTGGGAAAAGTAGGCCTTGCTGCAATGGGAGCAGGGGTAGGGCCGTTTGCCCAGATGCACCTGCTGCTGGTGCGTCCTCAGGTTGCCCCGCTTGGTGAATCGCTTGCCGCATTCGGGGCACGGAAAGGGCCTCTTGCCCTGGTGCACCTGCCGCTGGTGAGCCCGTAGGTTGCCCTTCTGGGCGAACCTCATGCCGCACTGGCCACAGCTGAAGGGCCGCTCGCCCGTGTGCACACGAATGTGCATGTCCAGGTGGGAGGGGCTAATGAAGCCCTTATTGCAGACGGCGCACGAGTACGGTCTGTCCGTGGTGGTGCTGAGAACAGACCGCCTCTTCCGCTTGCTCTGAGGCTCTGCCTTTTGCTGTGAGGGTACGAGCTGCACCTCCGAGCCGTCGGCCAATCCGGTGGCGCGCGGGACCCTGTGGCCAGGAGGTACGCAGGGCTGAAACTGGTCCGGGGTCGAAACGGAGTGGGGCTGGGGAGCATCCGGTGCCGAGTGCCTCGGCTGCCTGCAGACCGTCCTTAGTGTCCGGGAGACGTTCTGGGACCCCTCCCCTACCATCCCGCTACAGGTCACCGTTCTCCTGTCATGTCCCAGGCCATTGAATCCCTGCAAGCAGTAATCTGTCCCCGGAGGACCAGGCCGCCGTGGAGCGCCCCCTATCCCAGGCACTGAGAAACACGACGACGCAGTGTGGTCCCTGATAGGCTGAGGTCTAAACCAGCTGTTTTCCTGTCCAGCACCTAAGAGGTAAATAAAAGTGACATGGGATTGATCCAACAACCAACTGGCGTTCCCTGGGTTTAATTCCCAAACAAACATATGCTGCTCAGACTGCTCACAGTGAAATAGCACATTTATTGTAACTTCTACTTATTAAGCACTAACACCAAGTCCTTCGGAAATCCCCTTAATGTGTGACACCTCATTATATAGCTTTTTCTTAGCCAATAGTTAACATACCCACACATATAATGTTAAATTATAGGGCTGACATCCAATTTTGGTACTATATGGACATTTACTCATGCCCACAGTTTGATAAGATGATTAAGTAGTACACCTAAAGTATTTACGCGATGCGTATTTTGACACCCAAAACTTAGTGATCTGTATAAATTTGGACAGCGTCCAGACAAATGTTCATGCTCATGGTGTAAAGCTCTGGTGAGCATCACAATATAACCACAATGTGATTTTGTGCAGCCCAATTAAATTAATATGACTCAGTCTGTTTTCCAAATGCTTAGCTTGGTGCATGCCACTGTGGGCCTGCAGCCTATTCCATCACTCCAGATGGGACGCCAGCTCATTGCTGGGCACGTTATCATTATCATTGAAAAATTTAAATACAGTGGTACCTCGGTTCTCAAACTCACTAGAACTCGAATTTCTTGAAAGTCGAACAAACCAGTTTGACCTAGAACTCGATCTGAATATCAGAAGTCGCACCGTGAACGCTGACCTAATATAAATTGTACGCGCCAGGAAATGAGTCATACTACAATGCAATTCTTACTTGAATGCCTTCTTCACAGACTGGACGATTAACCAAATAAAGCAGCGCAGCATTACAGTAACTAACAATAAATAAACCGCTAACTTACGTGTACTATTAGAGCATTTATGTAATTTATTTAAACTTTATTTTACCAGGTAAATTAACTGAAAACCAGTTCTCACTGCTTTACGTGATATTCGGGAGAAATAGCAGATTACGCATCGGATCTGCCTGGGATACAATCGTCATGCGTGTAACTAAACTCTTCAGCCAATAAGGGCAAAGGTGTGTCGTCACGGAGGCGGTTCCAGTTTGTGCAGCCGGGTGAGAGGTCGCAATGCATCTAACCGTAATGCATTGCGTCAGGATCAGAATGCGTTGCTTTAAGCCAGCGCTGTAAGCAAGTCGAACGCACCCAATGACCAGACTGGGGAAACAAACTGAAACGCGGACTTAATACAGAGGACTAATGACAACAACCAGACACAGCTGATCACACGGGGATTCCACACGGGGTTAACGAATGGGCGTGGCACACGGAAGGAGCGGACGATCGGGGCAGGACAGGGGTAATGTTGGGATCTTTATCGTTTTTGAAGCCATTAAGAAAAAAATGCTCTTCTTGTTTCATCCTGTTAATTTTGTGTTTAAATGCTAGAATAAATAAATATATATATTGTGTGTAATTTTGGGGGGCCGGGAACCAATTACAGTCGAACCCGGTTATGTCGCCGGCCTAGGGGGTTGCCAAAAAGCGTTGAGATAACCGATGATCGAGATAACCGAAAACCAATTTGGCGGCAATATACTGTATTAACATATGCTTGAAATGTATTTACGTGCGTTAATAAATGAGAATGTGGATGCACGGGTTTTTGGTGGTTTTTTTTACACAACAGCGTTGCCGCGATTTGTTTGATGACGCGATCGGCATGCTATAAAAATGTACATACATGTTGGCTAATGTGCACCAACTAATGTGCACCAACTAAAAGCAGAGATTTACCAGTATACAATAAAAACCACCATCGATTCTCGATACAAACCTTTAATTATATTATCCAACAATGCAAACACAAAGATTGCTCACAAAATCAGAAAAAAAACCTGCGGGGTGTAATTCGTTGTTACAAAAAGCAAACCAGTGTCAAAATTAAATTCACAAGTCATTTCAGTCTGACAGCTCTGAAAAGTATCGTACACGCAATTAATATGGTTTCTTTACAAAGTCTAAAATGCTTTGTTGCTTTTTGCCTTTGACAGTCTACTTGAAAATAAATGCTTCGATATTACTTATGCTGTCTAAAACAGTTTCATCCCCTACAAAAGAACCATACCGTCGAATGTTTTGTAGCATTTCTATCACCTCACCGGCAGAGGGAATTGGTTCCAAATCTTCGTCCGCATCTTCTTCATCTTCGTTGTCATTGCCGCATGCAGATATGCTTGGCTGTGCTGACTGCACACTTGATATAATGTCTTCATCGGTGATCATGCCATCAGTACATGTAACAACGTCTTTGTCGATGTCTATGTAATCTCGGAATTCCTGGACAGTGATGGCTAACTCCTGTGCCTCCTCTTACAAGACAGCATCTGTAAGGCTTGATTTTTCCACTACTTCCGCGAGTTCTTCTGCGGCTGCATGGCACTGTGCCTGAAACTCATCATTGGAAATATCCTGAATGATGCAGTGCATCCAGCAGTTCGTGATAGTTTCCTTCTTCACGTTATTCCAGGCTGATCTCAGGAAGTTCATTGCATCTAGAAGGGAAGGGGTATACTGCGCCTTCTTTTCATCATGGAGCAGGTATTGGCGCATCAACATTTTCCTGTAGTACACCTTAAGCACCTGGTCCATTGGTTGGAGCTTACTCGTTGTGTTAGGTGGGAGGTAAAAGATCGTAATAGCCTTGAGACCAGGAACATCTGGATGAGCTCTACAGTTGTCCACGATTAGTGCCACCTTCCTTTTTTCTGCTTGGAACTTCCTGTCCCACTTTTTCACCCATGCACTGAATAGATCTCCTGTGATCCAGGCTCTTGACTGGCCATCGTAATCGCATGGGAGAACTTTGGTCTGCTTAAAGCATCTGGGAGTCTTGGACTTTCCTATAACGTAGAGCGGGAGTTTTTGGCTTCCATCCATGTTAGCGGCAACTAGCACTGTAAGTCGATCCTTCGACTTTTTTCCACCATGACAAGCCTCCCCACGAAACGCCATAGTTTTGTCTGGAAGGCATTTCCAAAACACCCCAGTTTCATCAACATTAAAAATGTTCCGAGCCTCATAGGTATCCAAAAGTGTGCGCATTTGAGTCTTCAGTCATGAATCCACGTGCTTCTGTTGAACCGCAGTGCTCTCTCCACAAATTGCTTAGAAGACGATGTTGTGCCTCTTTTTGAAACGATCCAGCCACCCCTGACTTGCTTTAAAGTCAGAGTGTCCTAGCTTTGCAGCAAGGATGTCCGCCTTCTCCATCAGCAAGGGACCATTGACGGTTAAGTTTTTCGCTCGCGTATTCGTGAACCACTGCAACAATGCATCGTCGACATCTTTGTGCACAGCCGCTCTAAATCTTTTTCTTTCTGGATCAAAAACAGACTTCTCGTACATTTGCTTTATCACGTCAGCCTTCTTTTTCCATCCTGAAATGGTGTTCGCTGGAATGCCATGCTGACGACTAAGGTGAGCCGGTTTTGTTCCTTTTTCTAGCTGCTGTATGATTTCATACTTTTTCTCTAATGTCTGATTGTCCAGTTTTCTCTTAAGACCTCCAGACATTTTTAGAAGGAAAAAAATAAACAGAATAGCAACAGCGTGTTATCCCTCAGACAAGATCAACAAGAATGAGTGAACTGTCATTGGAGTGAATGATCAATTTATTGGTTAGTCCAAAGCTAGCATAAACGTAAGCATGAGCCATTCACACCTGGCCACATTCCCCCCCCCCCTTTTATGGTTTTGATGGGGATTTACCTAGATCGCGTTTCTCCGCTGCGTTGTTCAGCAAATTACCATGCGAATGCGATTTGAATACGCGCTAATGCAGCTGTTTAGCACTTGTGATACATTTCAAAAAGCCGGCGATTAGTCACAGGGATCGAGATAACCGACGTTAAGTGACGATTTTGGCCCTCTTTTGTGCTCGAGATATTAGGGTTCGGCGACATAAAAGAATCAACATAACCGATGAGAAATGCTAATGCAAAGAGGGAATTTGGCGGTTCCACTTCAAAAACGTCGACTTAATAGGGTTGGCGAGTTAGCCGAGGTCAAGATAAGTGGGTTCGACTGTAATTGGTTTTCCATTATTTCTTATGAGAAAAATTCAATCAGAACTCGAACTTTTTAGGATTCGATCCGGAGTCCGGAACGGATTAAGTTCGAGAACCGAGGTACCACTGTACTTGCAAATTACAAATACATGATATATAAATGCGGACACACATACAGTAAAACTGGTCTAAGTCACCGGCTTGTAACTCGTCAATGTGCACAAGTCGACGCTCAAGCAAAAGTCCCGATTTTTCCTAATGATGTTTCCTTTAAAATTCCTTGTGTAAGTCGCCGCTTGTAAGTCGTCAAATTCCCTTAGTCGTCACCTAAATCCCGGTCCCGAACAACACAAATGAATGGATTTTCCTACCTGTAAGTCGACACCCCAATCGCTGCATTCCCGCCGCCTGCTTGTCACCACGGCAATGTAGAAACGGGGAATCCCCACCTACCGAGTGCGGCGCGGGACAAGATTTGATGGGTGAATGCGGGTGCGGGCGGTAAGGTCCTCATGTATGTGCGGGTTGTGGGAGAATAGAATTAATCGCGGGACTCCCGCAAAATGTAATTATCTTAAAATTAATTTATTAAAAACAAATACTCGTTTATCTACTGTACAAAAGCAACAAGAACGACTAAATTAAAATAATAACAATTTACAGGCGAATCGTCTACAGAAACTACAATTGCCGCGCTCTGAGTGCCGGGGGACGTAACCGGACACCCCAAGAAGTAATCAGCCTGGTGCTTGGACGGGATGGCATGTTCTGAAAAGCTCCTCGTTCGTGTCCATGTTCATCATTCCATTTAATTAAACTAAAATAAAACTAAACATATTTGTTTATTTTCCGTTTCTTTTTTATATACAGTATACTCAAATAACAGAGTAGCGGGAAGAAGCGGTAAAAATAAAACTACTTATATGTTTACCTGCAGTATTTTGCGGGCGGGAACCGGGACAAAACTTGAATACTGCAGGCGGGAGCGGGAAAAAATAATATATATTTTTTGCGGGAGCGGGACAGAATCTTGCGGGAGCGGGACTGAAAAATCCGTCCCGCGCAGGTCTCTACCATGATGAGTAGAGGTATGGTGTTATATTTACTAGTCGGCAAAACGGCGAGATAGACATAAGTCGCTGAAGTGTCGACTTTATAAGTCGGCAAAACGGCGAGTTATATTTACTAGTCGACAAAACGACGAGATACACCTAAGTCGACACTTTGGCGACTTACGTCTATCTCGTCAATTCTCTAAGTCGTCACTTTTAAGCTGGTCCCGCGAGTGTCGACTTAGACCGGTTTTACTGTACATATTATACCCGTCATATCATCTGGCATACTACAGATAATGGATTCAGACGTCAGGTTCCTTCCAACCATCTTCCACATGTTCATCCTCAGCATCCCTCACCATCTCCAGGCCCTGGACCCTTGAAGCCCTGCACCCCTGGACTGGACCTCCCTGGTCTTCGGGTCTCCACCAGCTGTGGTTTCATGTCCGGTTCCACCAGCTGCTCAGGAAGGCAGAACTTCATTAAATAACTGCCACAGCTGAAAGATTCTCATTTCCAAAAGACCCATGTGGCAATTTAAGATTCCTTAGAATTTTGCAAGTAAATGCATGTAGCTTTTATGGTTAAAATAATCTGATAATGAAAACCTTTTTAAGCATTCACAATCCCTGAAAACACAGACCTCCTCTTTGACGATAATGGTGACCACCTCAGGACCAGCTTGTTCAAATATGCCCGACTCCTCGTCTTTGACCCTGTGGGGCTGTTGGGGGGCATCCTGCACGCTGCCCCCTAACTGACTGCGGGAATCTTCAGCTCCGAGGGGTCTTCCACACTTAATCTCTACAGACACAGACAGAGACAACACAAGGAACAAATTCAGGCCAAACATACACAGCGGTCATCAGATATACAGGATGCAACTGGAACAGGGTGGATTAACTGCTATGTCTGAAATATCTTAACCCCACCCATTCTGTGTGCCCTTAATTAGTGCAGTCCATATAACGAGGGCAGTGTGATGACACTGGAGCGTGTGCTCAGTCATGCGGTGACTGTTTCCATCAGCCGCTCCTCTGGTGGTCCGTCTCTTTTTGGCGCCTGGCGTCAACATTTGGCTGCCGATGCTGCAGCGTGAGCAGCAGGTCCGTAAACGCAAGACTGTCTCCTTCGCGGTCCGCAGAGTCACTTTCAGCCCGGTAAGGGCGTTATTAAAGTGCTATACACCCGGAAATCAGGGTTGCCAACGTTTGTTAGCTGGCTGGTGTGAGATTTTCAATTCAAGCAATGTCTGCACACACATGCGCACGAGTTTTATTACCTTGTAAAAAGTCTGTAGGGTTTGAAACCTACCCCAACGCTTTGTAGCTAATTTTAAGTTTATACTAGAATATACACTCACCTAAAGGATTATTAGGAACACCTGTTCAATTTCTCATTAATGCAATTATCTAATCAACCAATCACATGGCAGTTGCTTCAATAGCGGCAGGTTAGTTGGGGCACCGTTTATGCGGTTTGTTAGTTTTGAGCTGCTGCTTGAGTATTTGTTTCGCTGCTGTAGTTTGAAGAACATTTAATCTGTTTTAACTGAAGTCAAGATGGGCTGCACATTTTTACTTCCATGTTTGCCTGAACGAACCTGTGTGACCCCTTGTGTCAGGGTGATAGTGGGCATTTCCACGGGTGTCATATTCGAACTAGTCGCATGCACGATTTTCTCCCTCCCCCCAGGCCACAACGTAGTGCTTCCTATGAGCAAATGATTTCTACAATACCCACTGAAGCAAAGTATAGTTTTTTTGTTTTTAAGGCTACCAATTCTAGTTCAAATGCATATGCATATCTTAATTTTATTCGTAACGGGCATGTGATATGCCATTTTTGATGTGTGATCGCGCATTAAACGATTCCTTTGCATCATTTGCCAAGAGCACTTTCTAACATCGGCGTTACACACCGCTTCCCTGTCCCGGCACTGCTGTTTCTCGGTCCGCATTAGAAAACCGAACCGGACCGCTGATGTCCGGAGCCCGGCTCGTCCTCCTATCCAGTATCTGCTTCTCGGACGCCTCCAGCTGGCGCTTCAGGGTCTCCACTTCGGTGTGGCTCCGGGCGATTTCCAGCCGGAGCTCGGAGACGCTGCTCTCGAAGATGCGCGTTATCTCCAGCGCCGCGGCTCCCACCAGCGCCTCCATCACCGCCGAGATGCGGCCGCTGAAGGTCCTGCCCAGCACGGAGTCCGACATGCTGGAGACCCAGGGAGATGCGGGCAGAGCACAACTACCTAAAAAACAGACGCTGACTAATGCCGCATATTTCCTGGTGTTAGGAGTAAGAACTCTGCGCATGCAAAAGGCGAGAATAATGAATCTGAAGCTTCCAGCATAACCGGAGGTGTGATCACGGCTGTGAGTACCAAACAATATTTACAACCCAACACCAGCGTATAAAAAGAGTCTCTTCTACTTGCTCTTCTTCGCCGGTCAGTTTAATTTCCGAACTCGATTAGAGGAACGTATATCGCCCCCTACTGCCTTGGAGGAGGGAATAATGCCGTGACTCACGTTTACACAAGGAATCTTACGGCAAATTTATAGGCCTATTAATTCATTATAAACCTAAAATTAGCTACAAAAGCATAGGGGCAGTTTGCAAACCCTACAGACTATTTACAAGGTAAAAACACTGTTACATACATGTAAATGAGTGTGCAGACTTGTCTCAAATTAAAAATCTCACTCCATCCAGCTGACCAATGTTGGCAGCCCAGAATGCCAGGTGTATGACACTTTAATAAAAGGTTGAAAGGGATATTAATCATAACTGTAGTTTATACAGTGTTAAAACCCAGAGATACTTCATTCAGTCTCACTGCGGCATGGATGTAGTGCATTCATGGCATCCTTATTAGATAGCTGTGGAACTTCCGTTCTTCGGATAGGGTGACCAGATAATCCATGTCAGGGAGGACACTCTGAGCTAGGACAGGAATTGTAAATTACCATTTCAATTAAACAGACCTGGATTTCACTTGAGCACTGAGTTCTTGCTGTGTGCTGATTGGTCAGTCTCCTATAATCATGCATATGCCACTAATGCTAATATGAAACAGCTGGATGAGTCTTTCAGTCACGGAAACAAACCAGTCAAAGCACAGGAATAGCTGAACTATTTAGCCAAACACAGGAGCCTTTCAATTTGAAAGTAGTTTGTAAAACCCTGAAGTAGCTCAAAGTGTCTCCCTGACATGGATTATCTGGTCACCCTATCTTCGGAGGAAATGAAAAAGTTTTAATGTTAATGGTAAAATATTGTCTCTACCTGTAATTTAGGTTAGTGGAGAATATCATAACAGTTAGACCACACACTCTCACGCATCAAACACAGCCTTGGTGAAGAATACAGCCTTAACCTTAGTCCTATGTTAGTTTTCTGTTCCTATCTCTTATGTTAAAGAGGGTCGGTGCTGACCCAAACACAATAGCAAGGTTAACCATTTTCCCCATTTCACTATTTCCAGAGATGATTTGGTCAGAGTTAGAGATAAGATGCTATCCAGTAGCTTTATAAAAACTAAAATATTTCTGGCTATAAGCAGCAATATGCTTTGTTACTTGCGAATGGTATTAAAATCGCTAAGCAGAAAACCCAAGTACTACTTTACACTGTGGATTCCACACAAGTGATGCGCTATATGCTAATCAATTCACCGATTTATTTGCTACCTCTGAAGGATATTCTTGCCCTAAATTCATTGATGTGTTATTTGCCTCACTTGTACGGCACTTTGGCATCTGCCAAACAAACAACTTTTAAAAGTATTTTGCAAAATATGTCTTCTATAAAAATACTATAGCAATTTGTGGGACAGTGGATGGGAACTAAAGAGTGCACATGTTTGTTGGGGGAAGATGATGTCGAACATCAATGCAAATGCAGGTCATAGATATTTTGTTACATTCCAGTTTCCCCATTTATTTTTTTGGGTCAGAACAAACTTACAAAGGCTTAACATTAAAACTATATGTTCCAAAACTCTGAAGTTAATAATAAAACAAAGTTTTTTTTTTTTTTTAAAAAAGGGCTTTAAGTACATTTGTCTTCATTTGATTAAGTTAAACTGTAACAGCATGTGTCTACAATAAGTAAAATGTACGTTTAACCTTTTAGGAAGACTCTATGAACCAGTAAAACACAGTCTATCGGGCATGAATTTGCTGATGTCTTCGCAGTTCGCCATTTGTCGAGAACCGTTTTCCGCAATCCTTGCAGCTGTGCGGCCGGTCGCCAGAGTGGATCAACCTGTGCTTCTTCAGATGACTCAGCTGACTGAAGCTCTTGCCGCATTGAGAGCAGCTGAAGGGTTTCTCCCCTGTATGATATATCTGGTGCGACTTTAAATTGCACAGGTACGTGAAGCTCTTGCCGCACTGCGTGCAGCTGAATGGTCTCTCTCCCGTATGGCTCTGCAGATGCACTTTCAGGTGGCACATATAAACAAAACCCTTCCCACACTGCGTGCAAGTGTAGGACTTCTTTCCAGTGTGGTACCGCTGGTGATCTTTGAGGTTTCTTAGCAGAGTGAAGCTCTTTCCACAGTGTAAACAGCTGAATGACTTCATTTCAGCTGAAGAGGGCTGGGGGATACCGGTGTTTCCCGGGAACCCTGTATCGCACATGAAACCCTCTATGTCATTTGAGGAGTCAGAGTTTACCGGCATGCTACTCCCGCTATCCACCGTCTGGGGGGTTTCTACCCTGTTCTGCAGCTCGATACGCTCTGCAGCTGCGTTTTTGGCCTTTGCCGAGCACAGTTTCTGAAGCCATGTCGCGTTCCCCAGTGGCGCTACGCAGGGAAAGCGAATCTGCAGAAGTTTTTGTTCGATCCCTCTGTTCTGGTCGTGTTGCGACTGTGCTGCCGCCGCTAGCCTGGCCTCTTCACTCCACACGGACTGTATTTCAACTTCGTCTTTAACAGAAACCGAATCGGCACAGTCTAGGTTCTCAGTGGGAGCTCTTAATGAGGAGAGATGCTGACTAGCATGCTCCATGGTTGACTGAGACTCCGAGTCCTGTTCTGCGAGTGCAGGTAAACCTGGCCTTTCAGTCACTGTGCTCAGGTCACCCTGGGCAAACGCAGCATGCTGCCGACTGAGGGTTTCTCGCGCGACAAAATCAAAACCCTGGATACTGATCCTTCCTGCGCCCTGTTCATTGTCGTTTTCCGCCAGATCGAGCCTCTGATGGTCTTTCTCACGGGCTGCCTCCAAGCCAGGCCCCTCCCCCTGTGCGTCAGCTGGAGTCCTCCTGTGTCTCTGACTGTCAGCGGAGTCTTGCACAGGGGAGAGCTCTGCGTCAGCACAGAGATTCTGGCTCGCTACTCCTGTGCAGGCCGATTCCCTGGAGCTACTGTACAAGCAGATCAAATATGCAGGATCATCTCCTGGTGGAGAAAAAAAGGCAAGATTACAGCTTTAAGTTAAATGGATTCCTGCTTGGAAACACATCTTGCTGTTATTATGGGTCCTGAAATAACTGGAACTTGTAACCTTTACATTGTATTGTCATTCTAATGAACTTTAAGTTAATCATAGCTGAATAATAATAGCAATAATGATAATTATTTTATTTGTATAGCACCTGTCATACAACTGAATGCGACCTAAAGTGTTTCACAAAGACAACGAAAATATAAAATTAAATGAAGTAAAAAATAAAGAATAAAATTAAATAAAAATACACAGTCTAAAATAGAAATAGAAATAATTATAGAAAAAAATATATGGGTACAAAATATTTAGAAAAAAAAGAGTTTCAGCGACAGAGAGAATATGAGGAGTGCAACGAAAACCAAAGTCAAGCACCATCTAAAACTCCTTAAGCTTGGTCAATATTTTCTTGTTCACGTCTATCTTTTATGAACTCGCTGGATCATTGACTGTCTCCAAACTATCTTATTCATATCAAAAGAATGTAAAACAAATACTCACGGCACTTACCATCCAAACACGCCTTGTAACTTTCTTGGTTAGTGCAACTGGTCTCTTTGTCATGCTCATTTTTGCAAGTGAACTCAAAACCATCTGCATCCATATGTGTGGCCTGTATCGCAAGAAAAAAACAAGGCTAAACGTCCAACACAAACAGCTTAATGATGGATCTGAATTTATAACTGATGTATAGATGCCATTTACAGTTTGTGGGGCCATATCCAGGGATCTGGCTGGTCTGCATGCGGCTACTTCTGCCGTAACACCAGCAGATGCTGCATCCAGGACGGCCCAATGGCAGACGCTGTGGTTTACCTTTCCGTCTTTTACATCAAACCACTCCTCAACATCTTTAGAAAAAGACCAACAACCAAACCATCAGAATTTTCACAGCAGCAAGAGTGAGTCGAATGGAGAGTTTGGATCCACTGAGGGGTCTTAAAAAATAAGGACGTGTCCTGTGAACGTCAATTAGACAGTAGTTGCAAGCATTTTAATCTGCACTCACCAGACTGTGTTTCTGCAGCTTTCGGAATTGCTTTTTTTCTGAAAACGTCAGCTTTGCTGTAATCTGCGTGCTTCAGCATCAAAAGCTCCTCTCGCTCTCTCCAGTTCTTCTCAGAGGTCTGCAACCTCTCCGTCAGAGCCTTTATCTCTAGCCTACTCTGCAACAGCTCCTCCAGGAAGCTATCCTCAACCAGTTTAGTGATATCATGGATGGCCCCTTTAAGGACTGTCTCCATGATGCCTGTCAGCTGAGACTGAAAGTGGAGTATGTACTCCGACATTCTGCCACTGCCTTAATCTGTGGTCCAGGGTTTATTGTTGCTATCCAACAGTTAAGACCCAGGGTCACTGCTAGGTCAACGATAATAAGCCTTATAGCCGTAAGCTTCACCTAGATTTCGATCAGGAATGATCCTTTTTGCAAGAACGTGACTAAGAGAAAAAAAAGTAATTAAGGAAAAATATTATTAGTAGACACCTTGTAGTAAGTAGCATACTGTCATTAATCATATACTTTTATAATTACCCCGAACAACGATCAACTACTTTTACATAAAGAACTACACTGATGCAATATTAATGATTGCTATACTACTAATACAATCCTGACAAAATACTGTTGGGCGCTTTAAAGTTAATAATATATTCCCATGTAAACCAAGCGGTTATAGTTCTAGTGTTATCGGTCTAGGTAATTTACACCCCCTTACAAAAAGCACTGAGACTTCCAAGCGAGCAGCAACTGTTTTATAGATTTCATTCCTTATTTATAACTAGTGCTATGCGAAATAACTGTTTGGTATTAATCTGACTCGCGTTGTATTGGGATAGCTCACTCTAATTGCAGATATTAATGCTCGATATAAAACGTGCAGCTATAGTTAGCTAATACTACTATCAGATTCATTGGCGGCTATCAGGGTCAGAGTGTAAAAGTGCTACGTACAAGTAAGGTTTAGTACTGCAGCTTGATCTTCTAAAAATCTCCATGAAGAAATTCCACTCGGCAGATGTGCAAACGCGCTAAGGCATGTTCTATCTAGATAAAGTTATTTTACTCCCTGCTCGCGATCCGCTTCCCTATCAATAAAATACCATAATGACTATGTGCCGAAACATCAAACTACGCTATACGGAAAACGCGCAGGCCCAAAAAAAACGGACGAAAAATGCGAAGGCAAAATTAGCGATGGTCCTTCCAGGTTCCACGCATTTATTTTTCCCTCCACATTATATATTCAGACTATATGCTAGACTAAAATAAATTTGTGCATTAACCCCGTCAAAGAAGTTTGTGGCACGAATCCTCCCCTCTCATAATATTTATGTTATTTACAAAGAGAAACTTTATGTAAGCGAAGTATTTTGTTTCTGGAAATAAATGAAACTTTAGTTTAGCAACTAATTTTAACTGTTATAATTGCATTCTTTGGACAAGTCATTCCAGTGTATATATAGATGTCAGTGCATTAGATTATGCAATAAAATCGTCAATACCAAAGAAACATACATATAATTCATTTATTCTTCGTATACTGTTTAAAAGAGCACCACTTGCTTGTTTCGTATTTCCCAGTACAGGAGTATAAACCTACATACAGCACAACACACACAAAGGTCTACAAAGAAATCCAAGAAACACGAATTAAAATTGCTAATATTAGCATTGTTTTTGGGTGAGGTATACAGCTGATAGCCAAAGTAGAACGGCAGTATGCATCTCATATCAATTCAGAAAAAGAAACCTGTTTCTATGATTAAGAAAATAAGTTATTAGTAGATACATAGTCAAATTAATCAAAGAACAGAAAAGCATCTATTTCATACAGTCTTTATCAAGTGGAAAACAGCAACATCATCATCAAACACTAATATCCTTACTCATGTATTCGTCGTGACTGTCATGAGGTTTCAGCTAAGTACAACAAACAAGAACATATGACTGGACAGCAAGAATAATATGTTTATTATACAGACAGGGCAAGGGTAGAAGTGGGACAATACAAAACATACATAAGCACAAAATCCTTAGTTTGGGACAATGAACAACTTTGGGAGTGATGTTTTAAAGGCGTACCGAGAATTGAAGCACTGGGAGATGACAGGTGTTGGAACTGGTATCGGCTTGGGTTTCCAGAGTTACTGGCCATACCAATGCACAACATGCCATTTTATAGACTGTAACTGGCAGATAACCAACTATAACCAATTAACATGAATAAACCTGGTAATTTAGCTCTCCTTATCACCCTCCAAACCCACCTGATACAAACAACTAATGTGAACCTGCTACTTATAATTAATATAAAAACATCTGATATTACCCTGTTGTCACATGCATGACAGCCATTTTCTGTGAACATTTACTGTAATGGTGTGCTTCGTATTTCCAAAGAGAAATGAAAAATGACAATATTCATAAAACTGGCATATCAGGCACAGTCACACAGTAGAATTACTGTTTAAAAGTTTGACCACCACCCCCCCCGACACATAGGCAGATAACAAGTAAAATAAGTCTGAACCCCACCCCCACCCCAGAAATATTTCTGCTCCCGACCAGACATGTGGCCAGACAGAGAAATAATGATTTTGAACCCACCCTGAAAATCATTTCTGGATATGAACACGTGGCATTTTCAAAATTTTGGGCACAAAATGATCAGATCTGGCTTAATTTCCCATCCCAGACCTAATGGAAAAAACGATTCATACTTCTAAAAGGATATTTGGTAACACTTTACATTAAGTGCACCTTCATAATGCATTCATAGAACATTCAGTGCACCTTCATAATGCATTCATAGAACATTCAGTGCACCTTCATAATGCATTCATAGAACATTCATAAGCAGCATGCAAGTACACCTTTAAGTCCTAACATCCCTTAACAGCTTTAATATACATTAATAACAAACATTACATGATTATACAATAATGTAGTGTTTGCTATTATTAGATAATGTTTGTTATTAATGTATATTACATCTGTTAAGGGATATTAAGGTATACATATATGATGTTTATGAATGTTTTATGAATACATTAAGAAAGTGCACTGAACATTTTATGAATGCAATGTAAAAGCATTATGAAGGTGCAGTTAATGTAAAGCCTCACCGATTATTCTTCTTAAAATGGAGGTAACACTTATAAAGACATCATAAAAGGGTTCTGAAGAAGTCCTTCAGGCGATTTAACTACTGTGTCAAATGACTGATTCTGCCCAAATTTGCCTTATGAACCCGCATGTGTGATTTCAGCTGTCTTAGCTGACTGAACCTGTTTCCACACAGCGTACAGCAGTACGGCTTTTCTCCGGTGTGGACCCTTTTGTGTGTGTTTAAGTCACCAGAGAAGCGGAAACACTTGTTGCAGTGAGTGCAACAGTAGGGTCTCTCTCCCGTGTGAACTCGCTGATGGACCTTGAGGTGGTCAGCTCTTCTGAAGCTCTTCCCGCACTGGGCGCAAATAAAACTTGCGTCTCCCCAGTGAATCTTCTGGTGTCTCTCCAGATTTCTTGCAACAGTAAACCTCTTTCCACACTGAACACAACTGAATGGCTTTTCACCAGTATGTTTTAGCAGGTGTATTTTAAGGCGACTCACGTAAGCGAAATTCTTTCCACAGTATATACAGATATTCTGATTATCTCCATTGCCTCCGTCATGAGATAGTCTCATATTCCCGGCTGAAGTGAAGCTTCCATGATCACCATGTTGAATATCTGAGTTTGCTTGTGCCATACTCTCCCACCCATCTACTGACAGACTCTCCGTCTTCAAGTTCTTCCTCCTTATGTGGTTGACGACGTTATGGGGGCTCGACAGGCTGACCACGTCTTCTATTTGTATTCCCTCACTCTTCCTGATGTCATGGTGAACTTCTGCTTGCATATTAATCAGTCCTGACCTGAGTTCTGAGTCTTCGTGTGTAATGCAGGAGACATTAGGTTCACCAATCACCAGGTCGTGGTCCACTGTGACCTTCTTGTACTCAGGATTCAGACCATTCATGCTTCTCCCGCTGTACTCGCATCCTCCTTCGAGGACTGCCTCATCGAGTTCCTCTACATTTTGCTTTATCATATATTCAGTATCCAGCTCCTTAGTACATCCCTCATCTGGGGACTGTTCGCTCTCAGGATCAGGGTGGCCACTAAAATTTACAGTAACTGTCAGGGAGAGAGGGCACAAAACATCTTAATAACCTTGTTGCCCTGAGCCGAACTCCCCATATAACTAAACGATGCTTTTGGTAGAGCTAGGCCCAGTTATCAGAACCAGCCACAGTTTGTCCTTCATGGTTTCTAATGAATTGTTCTGAGCCTTTTTAATTAGCCTTGGGTTACCTGCTTTTCCTCACATAAAGTACAATAAAAAACTTTAACACTGGGATCTACAAGGATAATTTCTCCTCTGATAGACTATTCCTGCTTACATTTGCTTATATAGCTGCAGAACCCCTCCTGAGTCCAGTACCAGTACCCTCAGTGCCCTCCTTCACTACGCGACCTGCTGTCCTACATCTCGCACATCTTGTTCAGGACCGGCACTGCAAAGGCTGGAAAAATATAAGGCTGGATGCAAAACTAACGATGAGAAAAATACTCACGCCGCAGACGCCTTTGCTTCCTGCGAACACCGCGGATGCCTTGAGATCCCTGGAAGTCCTCCTTCTCAGGCATCGAGTCACTCCCACTACCTTCAGAATCTGGAAACTATAGTTTTAAAATGAGGGAATTGAATAATGAATAAATAAATGTCATCTGTATACTTGGACTGTACCAGAATGTGGTACACAAGTTAATAGAATATTAAAATAATCATCATTTACTGGCGGTCGTGCAGTTTCTCCAAAGCTGATGGATCCGGGGCTGTCCTTTTCATCTGGAACACTAGAGGGGGCTGTAGCCAAGGCTTCCCAAAGACAGCTGCCACGGTTCCTTGTTGTCTTCTCCTTTTTGATACCACGTCCCTCCTCAGACCCTACGGTAAAAACAGTTACACCTTTAAAGCTCTATCAGTAATACTGATTCACTGGAGGGGTTTAATGTAAGCAATACATGGTACTTCTTTTCTTACGTTTTTAAAAATTTATTTGAAGCACAGAATTCCCCTAGGAATCCCCCAAAGTTATCCGATCTCATCTGTATAATGTATTTAGTAGCAGTTGCATCACAGTATAAAAAGCAGCGATTTTCTGAAAGTAACAGCCTTAAACACGTGATCTACATTTAATTAATTAATATTTAGATATAAATTTGACACCAGTTAATTAATTATTTACCTTAAAGTCATATACATCGTTTTGTTCAGTACTGCATTAAAACATGCCGTATATCTCGTCGCATTGCATCATTTATCATCTGAATGCCACCTGGCTCCATAACTCACCGTTTTTAGTGCCAGCTGTTTTTCTTTTTATCTCTGCACTGGGATCCGACGCCCTGCCGCATTCCGTGCACTTGTTCTTTCCTCCTCTCTCTCGCTCCCGATCCCTCCATCTCCTCTCGGACCACTGCAGCCTCTGTCTCAGGCTCTCCACCTCCTTCCTGCTCCGCACTACCTCCCCCTGAAAGCTGTCTTCCACCAGGCAGGTGATCTCATGTACAGCCGTCTTGAGGACCGTCTCCATAATGTCCGACAGCTGAGACTGGAAAGTAAGAATCGCCTCCGACATCCTGGGCTGCTGTTTCGGGGTGCGAGGTACCAAGGCCCGAAGCGTGCGCTGACTGCCACCCCCAAAATACAGTCGATCACTGTAGATTAAATATTCCCGACGAACAATCGACGAAAAACAGATTAACCTATAACTCGTTCAATTGTTACGGGGTGTATTTTTTTGCAACGCAAGAGAGTAAATCTACTTTGTATCGCAGATCTTTCCTTGAGCTAACTACATATCATGTTCAACAGCGAAAATCATATTTAGCGTATTAAAAAAACATTCAACAAGCATCAGTTGGTGATACACCGCTCGTTTAACTTCTCCTCACGGAAAAGCCCCAAACATCTCCATAGGCTGAATATCCCGGACAAATGTTACTTGCGATGGGCAGTTTCTTGAAGTAAACTGTCCCTTTTCGAATACAAGAAAACGTTTTAGTGAATCACCAAGTGAAAATTAGGTTTCCATTTAGCCATCTCGTACGATTGAAAGCTAAGACAAAAGGCAATAGGCGTCATACCTGCTATTTTTATTGACTTACAGCATTAACTGGGGAAAAAAATCACTTCACAGTACCTGAGGCGAATATAATAACGTCTACTAATAAGAACTTAGCCGTCTGGTGCAATGAAGCGAGCGCATCAGCAGGAAAAAAATGATAACGTTACTGTTCAGCTAGTTATTAAATTAAATACATTTTGAATAAAGGCGTTAAGATCCTACACATTATCAGTACGGTCATCCAAAGAGCCTTAGACACGGCAATGAAAATACTACGGAAGCCTAATAGGTCCTTAAACTACAAAGCGTTTGTAAAACACACGAACGAGGTCATCTCACTGTTATTCACGTAATCTCTACGGAGCGACGGCACTGATTTTATGTGTGGTACGACATTAGATTCAGTACTGATATACTGAGCCATTTCTGCAGAGGCCAGCTGAAGAGATCAATCGGTGAAACGCAAACAGATTAGATGCCTTCAGAAAAAAAATGAAGGCAAAAGAGGAAGAGGATGATAATCTCTCACTGAATGTGTACAATAAATTATGTTGGTAATGTGCAATATAATTTTTACTATAATGGCCAATAATAATCTATGTCGCTGTACACTAGTGCAATAATAATCAGTTCTGGTTATTTGAACACTTAACGTTATATAGGGCATCTGCAAATATCTTTGAACACATTTTGTGTGATTATTTTATTTTTAGCTTTTGCTGTTTGTATCCTGTGTATATTCTTCCTGTAGTCTGTATGTATTATTCCTGTAGTCTGTTTGTATCCTGTGTGTATTCTTCCTGTAGTCTGTATGTATTATTCCTGTAGTCAATATATATTATTCATGTAGTCTGTTTGTATCCTGTGTGTATTCTTCCTTTAGTCTGTATATATTCTTCCTGTAGTCTGCTTGTATTCTATATACACTCACCTAAAGGATTATTAGGAACACCATACTAATACGGTGTTTGACCCCCTTTCGCCTTCAGAACTGCCTTAATTCTACGC